AGGGAGGGAGGGAGGAGGAGGAGCTTGGACATCAAGGGCTCGGCCCATGCAGGAAACAGAATTTCAACGGAACAACACCAAACGTCGCAATGTTCCCCGGAAATATCTTAGACGACAGTCATAGAATACGAATAAGCATCAGTTGAACCTTTAAACGCGTATAGATTTATTTTTTTTTGCACGGCTTTATGCAGTTTTTTTTGCATTAAATTATATGAGCCACATTAGCAAATTTATTAATTCCGGCATTTCTTGAAAAAGAAAATAATTGTAATGTTCCCCAGGACTGTAATTGCCCGGGTATCATAGGACGCAAACCAATTAAAATTTCATTATTCATTTGAAAACGTTTTATTCCACAGAATGTCTAACAAAGTTGGCCATATTTACGAAATCTTTGCTTCCGTTTCCGCATAATTACGGCTCAAGTTTTCGAATGACGCGTCAGATTTCTGCATTGAGCTTAGGAATATTTTGTGGTTCGTTGGCATTTACAGGAGTTTTCACAAACCCTCTGAAGTCGCACGGTGTCAAATCACACGGCCTCCGGGGCCAATTTTTTTAATCTATTTTATTTACTGATACTACCTGGCCCAAAGGGCCGTGGTAGGAGAGGCAAAAAAATATAAATAATAAGAAGACTACAATTGAACACCAGGGATAATGTGGCCCAAAAGATTATACTATATATATATAAATAGCACCCAGCATACAAAACAAATATTAATAAGACAGAATCTGATTTGGTCACATCAGCGTGCAGAAATGATGCCTAAAACATTATGCAATACATATAGTACCCAGGATACAAAACAATAACTATTAACAAGTCACCTAAACACGAGAAAAAATAATTTCAATCTATTTTGAAAAGAATACAGTGGCTTTATCGATAAATAGTCACCAGAGTCTGAATTGGAAACATCAGCGGGCAGCTTGTTCCATTCAAAAATGGTCCTAGGGAAAAAGGAGTACTTGAAGGTGTCCAATCGCACTTGATAGTCCAGTACTGAACGTGCATGAAATGATCTGGTGTTTAACCTGCCTGAAAATGTAATCTATCTGAAAGTGTCCATATTTAATTTACCCTGAATCTTCCAAAATGTCATCTTTAATTTATCTATCCGCGCTCTTTCGCTTAATGATAGCAGGTTAGCTTGTTGCAACATTTCTGAAGGGGAACTTCGCGTTTCATATTTGTTGTAAACAAACCGTATTGCTTTCTTTTGTACACCTTCTATACTTCGTCTCACCCTATGATGGACTAAAGGCCAAAGCTATACGGACCGCCAGATCCAATCACCCCAATCACGATATATTTAGAATTGTGCGGTATTTCGCTTCGATGACCGTATCGGTGCCCGCGTCTCGGATCACTGATGAGAAGGCGGGTGGACAGTGGTTCGAATCGAAGAGCACTGAATGACTCAACCATTTTACGTCGCAAAGAAAGCCACGACAAATAAAATCTTTGCAGCGTAGAAGCTATAGAAATGATGCGGCGCTTTTGGATTCGAGCACCATTCGTCCACCCCTAATCAATGTTAAGCGTGTCATAGTATAGCGTGGAACGTGATTGGACCTGGCGGTCCGTGGCTTTGGCCTGTAGTCCATCGTAAGATGAGACAAAGTATAGCTTATTAATATTGGTTTTAGTGAACGGGTCATAGACAACATTTGCATATTCTAAAATTGGCCTTAACATCGTTTTATAGACTAAGTTTTGCGCTGGGAGAAGAATGTTTCAAGAGACGTTTCAAGGCCCAAAGCCGCTGGGTCGCTCTTGTTTTAATGTAATCAATGTGTTTGTCCCATAATAGTTTATTACTAAAATATAACCCCAACCGCTAACATTCTTCGACACGTCGGAATAGGTTGATTATCAATGCATTAGGAAAACTCCAGAGGACACTTTTTCCGCGTAATGGACATTGAAACAGTTTTTGAGGTATTCAGCTTCATTTGCCATTCCCGACACCAGGACCGTATCCTCTCTAAGCAATTATTTAAAATTATTTGGTCTTGATAGGACTTAGCTTCTTTGTATAAAACACAATCGTCTGCGAATAATCTTATGTTTACATCTATTTTTTTAGTGATATCGTTGATATATAATCAGAAAAATAAGGGCCCCAAGGCAGAGCCCTGGGGCACGCAGGAGTCAACGGGAAGGGAATCAGATTCATAACCTTTGAAACAAACGTACTGTTTTCTTCCTTCTAGGTATGAGGTTAACCATTTCACTAATTTATTTGAGTTAAGTATGGTATTCAGTTTTAGAAGAAGCTTGTTGTGAGGAACTTTATCGAAGGCTTTACTAAAATCCAGAAATCAAACATCTGCCTGACTTCGGCTATTCATTACCTTGACGAGATCATGCGTTATTTCTATCAACTGGGTTACTGTAGAAAGGCCTTTTCTAAATCCATGCTGACTCGCCGCTAAGATATTTATCTTTTCAACGTAATCGAAAATGTGCCTAGAAATTATATGCTCTAATAGTTTACAACACTAACTCGTTATGGAAATGGGCCTATAGTTCCCAGCATTTTTTTTTTGCCGCCCGATTTAAGAACAGGTATAATTTTTGCTATTTTCCATTCTTTAAGAACAGCACTCCATTCTAATGATTTTCGGAATATTATCAACAACTTTTCGGAATATTATCAACTTAGCCATCCACTCAGAGTAACGTACCAGAAAAGCAGGAAATAAATCTGGCCCCATTGACTTCTTAGGATCGACGTTAAGAAGCAACTTAAGGATGCCTTCTTCAGTTAAAATAAGGTCATACAACTCTGGCAGAGCCTGATCAACAGTGTAATTTGGCGGCCGTCCATCATCGCTAGTAAAAACAGATTTAAAATGTTCATTAAAACTTGCGGCTATTGTTTTGGGATCTTCAATTATATCATCGTTTATTTGAAATGCAGTGCCAGTCTCTAGTTTGGCTGATAGATATTTCCAAAACTTCGTTGGAGAAGATTTAAAAAAATTCTTTCTAGAGTTGTACTATGATAGCAAAACCTTGCCTCAGATAACATACGTTTTAGTTCCCGAGACAGAGTTGTTACCACTTGTTTTCTTATCTGTGATCCAGTGGCCTTCCCCTTTTACGAGCACGCGCAATATTACGTTTCAAATATATTGTTTCCCGATTAATTGAGGGCCGCTCGCGCTTTATAATCTTCATTTTGTATAGGACAAAATTAGTTAGACATTCCTCCACAATAGCTTTAAAATGGTGCCAAAGCTCATCTATATTTGCGTTATAATGCTCTGAATGATCAGTGAACTTCTCAAGGGACCAATCCAATGCATCTATATAATACTAACGTCATCTGCATTATTCAAATCAAGCACCTTAGTCTCCGTAACTTGAGGCCTGTGGAAACGAAGGGGTAGCTCTAGCAGCACCAGTTTATGATCAGAGATTCTGTCCAGTACTTTGACGCTAAACTCTTTGCATTCACTACTAAGCAGAATATAATCAAGTATAGACAATGAATTTCCCTGAATTCTAGTATAAGATTGCACTATCTGGACTTCGTCAAACGTGAACGCGATATCTAAAAGGCATTCAGCGCTGTCACTTTCTTTAGAACCGGCCGATAAGGAGTCACAACCTATCGATGGCAGATTAAAGTCACCCGCGAGCAGAATTTTACTGTCACTTCTATAGTGCTTTAAAAGATATGACTTCGTCTCTTCTAAGACCGAAAGAAGTACGTTAGGAGGCCTCTATAGCGCTCCCAATATTAGGCAGGAGTCATGTATTTTTACCTTACACCAAAGTGCTTCACGAAAGTACCAAAGTATTTCAGCGATATCTTCAGAAATCTGTTCAAGCAGTACCTCAATATCAGGGCCGGGATTCAATTCCACATCACCACTTAATAGCAGACACTCTTTCAGAACTACACAACACTCATAACACATTTGAAGTAACACTTTTTGGCCCGGCAGCAGCAGCAAACGTAAGTTGTTGCTTCTATCCGACTTAGTATCAAAGTACGTGACACCAACCTGAACGCAAAAAAGGACGATCTGATTAGGCGTCATGTCTTCGCCGCTGCAGCCAGGCCAACTGAAGTGATGGCTGGGATAGATCCGTTTATAACGCTGGGATCCGGTGACGTCACAGCTGATGGCACCTTCCATTGGTCCACGCATCGCCCGTCGATTGCTGATGAGAAAGGCGATTCCGAGGTTGACTCAGCGAAGGGAGCCAGACCTCGGGCCGTAGTTCCGTGGGTGCGTTGATATCTGGCAGGGCCATCCCCGATGTGCGCGACAGAAAGCAGGAGCTGAAAGCAAAAAAGGACGCTCTGATTAGGCTTCGCCGCTGGTCGCCAATTCTGGTCGCCATTGAGTTGGGCAAAGCGGGAAAGTGTTTCTCCACGGTGTTGTTTTATATTTCTTCATGGGTCCTTATCTTCTGCATTGTGCCTCATCTCAAATCTATCGCCATCAACATTTTGTTCTGTTTCTATGCTCTTTCTGCTTCGGACCCCGCAGCCTGGGCGCGGGCGGTTAACCTGCCTATGATTCGCCATGCTCCTCCTAGTCCCGCGGCAAACCACCACCAGAGTCGTGGACGAGATTAATCCCATAATGTTTCCCACAATTAACCGCCGTGTGTGCACCTTACACTGAAATAAAATGTCAGAACTTGTTTCATAGATGATGCGCTTTATGCGAAACCTTGTGCGCTATGTTGGGAAACACCTGATATGTGTTAAGTGAATTTTAAACACAGCTCACCAGCGCTCTGAATTTTGTGCCACCTTAACCCAAGCTTGTTCGCAGTACGCTGATCTGCAACGCGACATTGCAAGTCGCTCCAGAGCCGCCCTTGTGTGCCAGTACAAGGGAGCGCGGAGCGACACCGGCACGGACTGCCGTCTCTCTTATTCAGGTATTGCTACATCCGAGGAATCTGCGAGAGTAGAGTTGGCCTACATCGGGGCACCTTATATCTTCCAGATCTCGTGCAGATCATGTCGATCTCGGAAAATTACGAGGAGCGTCGGTACTACTGGCAGCAATGGCGGCGCGTCGCCGTCGAGCCATCGCGGAAGCAGTTCCTGGATCTCTTGCAACTGCTCGACGTCGAGGCCAAGCTGAACGGTGCGCCATTAGCTTTCTTAAGCAGGGAGAGAAAGTGCGAAATCTTTCGTTAGACATGAGAAGCTATGCGCTAAATTAAAGTATCCAAACCAAAAAAAAAAAAATCATTTTTCCGGAATCTGTGGTTGTCGGATGTAGCTTTTCACATCGAATAATAAAACGTAATTGATAACATTTTGTGGATATATTTTTACCCCAAAATAACAACCAGTTACTTACCAGAGGCTGAATGGTTGGGTTTGAAATACTGATGGCGCAAAACTGCATGTGAAATGTGACCGAGTTTTCGCGTCTTCGAGTTTCCAATCTTATATTTCTGCAGAAACGCACTGTCGCGTTCATGCATGCATAAATGTTCCGCCCAAAGACATGTACCTTAAGCACAATTTTAAGAAAATTATAAAAAAAATGTGATCTAAACCACCGTTAGATGAATCAAGGTGGAATTCTGTTTTCTACAGGAGATTATATCGTGAAAATGATTCTCCTATTTTATATTCCTTCAGCCACCTATTAGGTTTCAGCTTAATATATCGTCTGATAATAAGCTACACTTGTCAGCACAAATGAGCTTAACGATTGTCCTAAGTCTGATCGTTCAGGGCAGGCTAACAAACACGAATTCATTGGTTAATCGTGCACTTGACGGCATAGATGTCTTCTCTTACTTAACAATTTGGCTACATTGAGAATCCAATCGGATAGCGCCTGTCCTGTTTACTTCTTGTCCTTGTTTCTGTTGCGCTATTTTATATGTTTAATTGAGAATCCAATCGGAGTTACTCAGGTTTATTAAAGTTTGGGTTGAAAGAAAATAATTATTGCCATTTTTTTGCTTGATTCCGAGATTTCAATTTTCTGTGTATGTGTTAGGTTTTATATTAGTTTAGTAATACTGTTCGGATTCTCATTCAGGGGGCAATAGTATGCGCGTACTTTTCGCATCTGCTTAGAGTAATCCGTTGCCCTAAAATATAGATTGCTGAAGTGGCTACTATGGGACATTTTCTCTTATGAACTGTCGCTCTCTTATCACTTTCTTTTCCAAACTCAAGGCGAATGGAGTAAACAAAAAGGAGTAATAATCGCTAAAGCGCCTGGAAGACGTTCCAAATTCATGTTTCTTTTTTCTTTATTTGTTTGGCGGGTTTACCGCGTAGGGGGCAGAGACAAAGGCGTGGTGCCTGACAAGGCCTCTGCCCACTAAAGTTCAGCAGCTTAAGATCATTGCATAATAACAACAATTTTACAAAACACTACACGATAAAAAACAAACGAGTCAAAGCAACACGGCAAAGTAAACAACAATGAAAACAACATTTGGTGAAAAGTACTATAAATAATCGTCAGTAAATCTTAGTCGTTTTACAACTAAAACAACACAAACTGGGATACAATTGCATATATATATATATATCTCAGACATATCAGCAACAACAACAAATTTAGACGAGATTACAATGAAAACATATCCCTTTGAAATTGGCTATATGATATAGCGACTATGTTCTTGGTGCAATACACTATCCAGATGACAATGCGATTTCACTGCCAACTAGCAACTTTCTGCAAACATCATTAAAACTAGAAAACGTTTTGTTAGTCTATATTAAAATTCGTTCTAATTAGGGTTTTAGTTGTTTAAAAAGAACGTTTGTCGACCATAGTTGGTTCTAATGGCCGGCATCCTTCGATTTAAGTTTCTAATCGGCTATGCACTCAAGGCTCGTTCACACAGTGGCGTTCGAGTGCGACTTCAACCACTCGCACCTCGTTAAGACTGCTTGCGTCGAGCTGTTGCCATGGCGACACTTACGACGAGCCAATGGAAAGGCGCTGTACCGCACGACGGAACGGAGCGCAACGCGGTCGACGCAAATGTGTGAACCAGTCTGCAGACTTTCTGTTGGTCTGGTGTAGTCTGTTTTTATGTATCCATGGTAAAAGTTTACGGTAGTATACTAGGTCTGCCTTAAGCATATTACATTTGATGAGTAGTGAAGGTGTCATTCAATTTCTGGAATCCCCTAAGTAATTTTCACCTGTACGTAATAAATATTTTTTCTGGAAACAAAGATAGGTTTATTATAGTTTGCAGCTGGCTGTCGTCGTTTCCCAGACCAAAAGGCCAGGACTAATTTTGGAGTAAAATAAGGAATAATATGATGTGTGTTTTCACTAGGCACCGTAGTGAAAAATCATATTTGTATAAAAAAATGTCTTGGTCCAATAAGTGCATATGGTCAAAATAGATCGTATAAGAATATATAAGAACCGTATAACGCTATATGAGAATAAAATTCTTTATATGTTTCTTATATCATCTTAATATGTTATATATGATTTTATATTATCTTAGTTTACATATGCGCTTATTGGGCCTAGACATTTGTTATAAAAATAAAAATTTTCTCTACGTATGCATCAAATTTTTTTATTCTATAAATCAGTCTTTAGTTTCTTGACATTAAAACTCCATGCCAAGCTATACGCAAACTATACACACAAAATATCTTCTACTGTCACTTGCTCGAATGATGCCTCTTCGAATTTTTCGATAAATGTGTAGTCTTGCCTATTCAACTGATTTAAAACATAGGTTTAGTTTTGTGTGTATATTTAAAATCAGGCGATGTATTCGTAACCATCTTGATAAGTTCATAAGTTATTCATTAGCTAACTTTTCCACTTAACGTTTTGTCACGTCAACAACGAATCTATTTGTGTCGTCCGTTTGCATTATTTGATAATTCAGGGGAACCAGATATTGGCGTAATATCATTAACCTACACGAGAAATAATAGAAGCCCTAGAATGGAGCCTTGAGGGATGCCATGACGCATTTTCACTTTATTAGATGAAGTCATTAGTGGATGCATATTGTTAGCGATCTCAAATATGTTCCTAATATTCTGAGTGTAACTCCTCGTACACCGCATATATCAAACAGTTTAATAGAATATCGTGTATCAAACGATTTTCCTAAGTTCAAAAATAACCCTAAAGTGAACAATTTGTGAAAACGGAGCGTGCTGGTTAAGTTACGGTGTTAGAGGAGAATGTGTTATAAAGGACGAAAACCGGACGACATGTTTCTCCACGATGGACGGGACATAACAATGCTCACTTTTGTAAACACCCGTGGAAATGGAACGTGATGGTTAAGTTACGGTATTAGAGCAGAATAACATAGATGTCAATTAGTGCTTGTTCCGCAGACTTGTTGTTTTGAAAGCCATATTAAGAATGGTTTATTATTTGATAAGTATAAAAAATAACACGTTATTTCATCATTGATAATGCGCTCGCAAATATTTGAGAATACCGAAAAAATCGAAACCGGCCCATATAATTCTTCGGGAAATTCACCAGACTCAAGCATTATATATATTATATGGGACAAGATGGAACTTACTATGTCCGTGATTTGCCTTATAGGTAAAGATTTTATTTCATCACCTTCGTCGGCAACATAACTTTTTAAAGATTTGTTTTAATTTTTTTTTTAAAATTTTATTTGACATATATAGTTAGACTAAGTAGGGTGAACTGCAACTGATTTATCGGGTGTAGAGTTAACTGCGCTGACATATTGCCCCTTGTACGTGCATATGGTAATAAAATGCCGATTCATTTCGTCTGCTAGTTCTTTTCCAGATACATTTATGTTATCTATTAAGATTTTCTTCGCATTTCATTGCGTTTGCCTTCTATTGGTTAGGTCATGAACGGTGTTCCATACCTTTCTGCTATCACTGTAAACACGCGAAAACTTGTTTTGAGAATCAAATTTCGCGCTGTTCACACCGATATTCAATTTGTTTCGAAACCCTTTAAATTCAGCTAAAAGACAGGGATTCCGACCCATGATGAAAACTAGATACTTGCGTTGTTGTCTTTTTGTACAGGTCGCCTAATACCGATTTTTCATATTTTTTTACTTGTTTTTATCTTTCGCAATGGAAACGCTGCATCATAACTTTGTTTAAATTTTATGTCGAAGATTTTAAAGGCACGGGATGAGTCACGCTTTTCGCAGACGCCGCCGCAACTTTCTTTCTTGTTCTATAAGGCATTAAATTCCGTAATCTGTCACCGTTTATTGGGCGGTTCTAAAACGTTTGTTTGTCGCTTTTATGTTCCCTAGTTAAACCCAAGGCAGAAAATGAAAAAACAAAATGGAAACTAAGGTCGTATAATATAGCACCAGCTGCAATATCATCACTATCTTGGTTTGTGATGCACATATCGATATACGCAGCAGTGTGTGTAGTCACCCTGGTTGGCAGTGTTACCATGCTGTTACAGGTATAGTGAATATTGATGTCGCGTAATTCTCTCGCATGACGGTCATCTGTTTATATCCCCGACGATAATGGATGACACAAATAACAACCCGAGGAAGCAGAGTGCATTTCAAGAAATTGCAGGAATTCAAGCACATTGCCGGAGGGTGGTCTTCACACGAAGCAACTTCAGCATTCGATGTTCTAACACATAAGCTATCCCGATACGTCGGAGTAATGTCTTATCCCCAATACGTCGGAGTATCTGCGAAATAATAAGATATTACGTCACAGCATTCATGCTTCTTATAACACTTTATGAAGATAAGCACGGTACAATCCTGGTGGTAGGTCGCGGCGAGACGTGTGTCCGATCCATTGTTCGGAGTCGGTCAAGCGGCCGGCATTTAGGCATAGCTGCAGATAGACAGGCGCCTGTCAGGCTCCTCATTCGACACCGCTGGTTCGGAATGACCATCACCGGTGTCCCAGCTATACTTCGAACAGTACGAACCATGTTCCAGTTTGTTTTTGTAAAAGGTTTATAACGGAATCGTAGACTCGCGAGTCTTATTGAGCTTATAATTAAATACAGACAGCGTCACATAGTTAAAGACAGATAAGACACAAACTGGGCTATGTTCTTGCCAGATCTCGGAATAAAACTACATTCGCAATTAGGAAACGAATGGAACTCCTGAACGCGATATTTGTCGTAATGTTCGCTCTTCAAATTAGGTCCAATGATGCCTTTGTACTTTGTAAGCTCTGAATTGTTTGTAAATTGGACAGGATTCAACAGCACGGCGGAGTATTGGATTTACGAATACGAATGGGAGACATTTCATGGTGACCTCGAATCGTTGTGGGAGTTGACGAAGCCTCTCTACGAGCAGTTGCACGCCTTCCTGCGGAATGGGCTGGTCCAGAAGTACGCAGCCAAGTACGTCTCGTCGCAAGGACCGATATCCGCCCACCTCCTTGGTAACTCGTTTCTCTTACGCTGAACATTTGTTTGGAACCAGATAGTGGAGCGCATTAACTCAAATGCACTTAAAGGCCGACGACCAGTTCGCGCTTTCCATTTTTCCCTGGCTTCTTCTTCTCCCCCTTCTACCCTGTCCACCATTGCTTGTTTCCTCCTCCCCCGTCGTGAGGAGGATCTTCTGCCTTGCAGAATCTCGAGTCTGGTCGTCGGCCTTTAAGAAGGCGGTAAGATCGCCTGACACAATCTAGAGTGAATAACTGACACGGTTTGTGCCAAGTGGTGGTCACATTTGTTTTGTTTCAAGAGTCTGACTATTTTAGTTTGAACGCGGAAATGTTAGCGCTAAATTTGTTTCCCAGTCTTCCTAGAGTTTCGATATGGTCGTCTACTCGCAAAACGTCAAGGTGCTCCGAACACAAAATGCTTACCGTATAATATTTTGTGGTACATAGTACTCTTTTTAGCTTCAGCGTGAAAAACTATTGCGCAATATTCGAGCTCTATGTCGTTGCGTTCCTTGTCTTCAGGAGATTTGGAAAGTGAGTCGTGGTTCCATGAAACTGGAGTATTCTGGCCGCCTTCTTACGATACCTCTGCTGTGGATTTAAAGGCACGTACATGTATTCATCAAATATTCGCAAATATCTGAATATAAGCTTTTGATGTTCACGACGTCCGTTAGGAGGGCCGCCATTCAATCATTTGGAATTGTAAATCTACTTCTATTTTGTGTGAAAAAAAAAATCTGACTTTAAGAAATTAGTTTTTGACCTCAACCGGCTTATTCAATCTGATTGAAAAGGGTAATTGCCTACATTCAAATTTTTGAAATGAAACGCAGGATCGTGAGTAACAATTTCTGTTACTCTTCGTTAAGAGACCCTCCTTTCTCTTGTACTAATTTAATTTCGTAGATAAAACAGGACGTTGCGACTAATATTTAACACTAATATAATTTGAATTGCACTTTCGAGCCTTGTCAAAATATGTCGTTAAGAAGGTCATTGCAAAGATGAATTAAGGATTACGATATCTATTGAACCTTAAAAGGCAAGGGTTACATTTTAATTATGGCATAAGTAACCCCCCCCCCCCCCCAACCCGCCCCCCCCCCCCCCACCAAAAAAAAAAAAAAAAGCTGTTTCTTTATGTTTGTTGCTATTGTCAGTTATCCTTGCAGCCCCATGGGAGGACTGCAAATAATTTTTCTGGAACTGTTTGGTGCGGAGGGGGGAGGGGGCGAGCTTCGATTGTTTTTCGTGGCGTAAATATTGGTTTGGTTTCGATATTTTTCGTGGCGTTACTTTTTTTTCTTTATAGAGATCATGAAAGAAATTTCTGCGTGCGAGTGGTGAGGATAAAAAACGAAATGTAATTAAAACAAAATTATACTGTAAAAATCAAAGTGAAATTAATGCTAGTAATTTAAACGTAACGAGTAGAACAGCAAAAAACGTTCTTCTTTATAGTTCGTTGCCGTTATGTAAGGCGCTAACTTATTACGGTGCCTAGCAGCCGCAGTACTGTTAGATAAAACTGTTTACGTCGGCACGAGGGACCGTGACTGGCTGACCCCTGGTTACATTCGGTAATCTCTTCAACGCGGTATCTGCAACTTGAAAAAATAAAGAACAAAGCGTAAAACAATATGATATGCCCCTCCTCTCTGAAACTCGTAGAATCGAAGTTGACATTTTGTTATGTTCTAAGTGTCATTATTTCAACGAGAGTACTTTTTTTTATTGCAATGTCGACTGCTATACTTTGCGCCACCGGGAGACTTTTTCGAGTTATTCTTACCGGATTCTGCTTATTTTTTACTGGCTCGTTCGTACAGTTGCACAAGATGAGCGTCATCGACATCTTCAAGCTCGCCGAATCCTTCTACACGTCGCTCGGGTTCCCACCTCTGCCGCCCGCTTTTTGGAACAACTCGGTTTTGGAGGAGTCACCGGCGGAGAGCAATCGGATCTGCGACGCCTCGGCATGGGACTTCTGCGACGGCCGAGACTTCAGGTGGCATGTGTATTCACCACGCTCGAAAAGAATCGCTGGGCGTAGTTACTTGTAGGGTATTGTCGCTCTAAAGCCTACGAGATTTCGCCATTAGCTGATAAGAACGCTAAAGCAAGAATCACGAGGCCTTTACCGAATAAGCCCCGCGTTTTTTTAAGCCGGAATAAGCAGTACCACGCATCTCCCCGCCCCCCGGTGGCAAATGCTTTCCTCAAAGAAGAAGTAGTATGTTGTCTGAACTCAAAAAAACCTTCTTTTCTAGATATATATTGAATTTTAAAGGGGTACGGAAACATAAATTGAAATATTCAAACTTCGTTCGGAAATGAGTCAAGCATGACGGATAATAACCGTAAATCATAATCGCACGTTTTTTTTTAACGATTGGCTATATTTTTCGTTCCAAACGGTGCACTCGAGCAAGCGCTCGAAGAGAAGCGAGCGGAGAGCGCGATGCGTCATGGGATGTCCGGCGCAAACAAAAACAGAAAGAAAAGATTTCCCGCGTTCGTGGAGTAGCAAGGCAAGCGTGGTTATGAGCTTTGCCCTTGGTGGCGTTGTCACCGTTGTGGTGGTGTCAATAGCGTCAGCGCGTTACAACCGAGCCGCTCGAAGTACCCGTGGGGTGACGAGCGTGTGGCTGGCCCAAGGAGCACGTAGCTTCCACAACACTGTCAGCTTAGGGCTGAACGCGGTGGGGAAAGCAACTTTTGTTCGAGTTTTGAGCGACGGGCTAATCTTCTAGGGGGAGAATGACTGTTTCCGGTTGCAGGAACGAGGCTCTGAAAAAGAAGGGAGTCCTTCCTTTCCGTCTTCTTGGACCGTTTGGTACAATACGCGATTTGTGAGTTGAGGAGGAAAGCTAAGAAGGAAAACAGTGAAATGCCAAAGAACGGCGCTGCTCCGAATGAATCTGCTACGTCACGACTACGTAGCAGATTCCACAACGTTGCTAGACTACCTCCCAAATAGGCTCCGCATGCATCCACCAGGTGCACATTGGAAAATCGTTTATTTACTTTAATATTAGTTTTCTTGTGCTTTTCAACGGAAGACTGGTGTTTTTGAGGTTAGGGTGCAACATGCAACATATTAAAGCTAGAAAATGAGCGCTGAAATTTCGTTCCCCCACCCCTTTAAAGCAAGCACCCTGTATTTGAATCGCGCTTGAATCTCCACCTTCCTAAACACCTTTCCAAAAAGCTGCAAAAAATATTTTTCTGACATCTTAGCATGCGACAGAGCATGCCCTCATGTAACCGCTTGCTTGAAAGTTAACATTACCGCATTTTCCGGCGGTGCGCTCGTTTTGACGAAAACCCGGCGGCGTCTTTCGTTTGTCATATACAGGGAGAGATGAAGAGGGAGGGGGAGAGGGTGACGCGTACGACGCTCTTATTGGTCCGAAGCGCTGACGTAAGCACGCGTCGACCTCTACCCCTCCTTCTCCCTCTCTTCCCGTAGCTGACAAACTGAAAGACACCGCCGGGTTTTCGTCAAAACGAGCCCTTTGGTTTTCGTCGCACAACAGCTCCGCAGTGCTGAATGAAATGGCGTCATCCGAGAAGGCCAACGTTGGGCAGAGATTGGAAAGGAGTGCCGCGTAAGCGCTCGGCTTCGAGTCAAGTTTGTGAACTTTGAGCCGAACGTTGACGTAATCGTCGTATCCAATCTGGGACCAGCGATGGCCTTCTCTGATAACGCCGTCTCATTCAGCACTACGGCTTTGTTATCTAGGAGGTATTGTGCCGCGGCGCGGTGGAATGCGGGCGCAGTGGCGTCACTACGGACAGCGGCACCCGGGGTGGTAACTCACCGCGACCCTTGTGGCCCGCCGTGACTCCCCCCCCCCCCTCCCCCCGCCACCCCTCCCCTCTCCCCCCTTTTTCACCACCCAGCTGCACTCCCCTGAGCGCTGCACCCGGGGCGGTCTTCCCCGCCCTTGTGACGCCACTGTGCGCGCGTGCACAGTTGCCGCCTCCGCCGTCTCTGTTTGTTTTTTTTCGCTCTAGGTTTCCGTAGTAGCGGTGCGAGGGCTGTGATATGCGTGTGCAGTTATAACGATGGATGGCGGTTCCATCCACGAGTGATGTGGATGTGGCTCTTTCCATGAGTGATATAGATGACCGTATCCAAGGGTCTCCACGTGCTCTGACACGCAAAGAGTACAGAAAAGGGGTTAAAAAATTACAGGAAGATCCAGTGATAGATTTTTAGGGAGTCCATTAGCAACGACCCTTGGGAGACGCCACCCATGTCCCCCTTTGGGAAACGCTAACAGTGACCCCGAAACGAAGCCAAAAAGAGGAAGCAAAAGAGAAAGCCAAAAGCATAAAGTGGAAAGGTTAGTGTTAGCGTTTCCCAAAGGGGGACGTGTCTGACGTTTCCTGACGTCATGCTAACGCATTCCTGAAGATCCACCAATGGATCTTACTGTAATCTTTTTTTTAAATCTAAGATCTCCAGAAGTGCGTCTAATACAATGACGCAATAAACCTTACTTGCGGAAATTTGCCGCGGGGTTTAGAGAGAAAATAAAAAAAGTTAGTGGAGGAGACTGGCACCCTTACAAACGGCGCTCGTTTGTTGACGAGAATATTAAAATATGCTCTCCCATATGGAGCGCAAGATCGTCTGCTCCTCGCGCAGGGACTGTGGTGACGTGAGAACGCCGAGCTCCGATTCGCTCCGACCTGAAGGATAGTGGGTAGACCTCAATGCTGGCTGCCTTGGGTTCAACCCATTATTCTTCCAATCGGAGTCAATCGGAGCTCGCTGTTCTGACGTCACCGAAACCCCCTACGCAAGAAGCAAAATACTTGCGCTAAGCATATTGCGATCATCACATATGCGGGATTGCCAAGGCAGTTTCGCTGGCCGCACGAATACATATGTGCGACTTATAAACGGGAAAACATGGTATATGATTTATGAAATTATCAGCTGGATGGTGTTTAGCCCCACTGAGCAGTACACTAACAAAAAAGAAACATGAGCAGCACTTTTTTTTTGGGGGGGGGGGGGGGGGGGGAGGGGGGGTTGAGTGCAGCTTGTAACTAACTGTCGTTGCAGAAGCAGATGCTTATTCTAAATTTGTACTCATCTTTCGCCCGTGCCTGCCGTTTTGGACGCCATATAGAATTCGGATGTGCACGGAAAAAAGCCTGGAAGGTCTTAAGGGAGTATTCCATGAAATGGGCCACGTGTACTATTTCCAACAATACGCCGGACTGCCTCACGTATTTCGACAGGGCGCCAACTCAGGTGAGAATTACGGCCTCGCCCCATAAGGCTTATACGCAAATTCGCGTTTGCACGTGTTTGAGTGCTGAGCGGCGTCGTTGTGGCAGGAAACGGTTACTAAAGGCCCCTCCCTATAGACCTTTGCAGAAATCGCCTCCTGCGCGCTGCCATCTTTGTCTGCTGGGCTGTGGAACGCCTTCCAAGCATGCGCTGTTGATCTGCTGTGCGGTATATCGGACGCTGCGCATGCGTTCACAGCTCAGTGACTCAGCATTTTTCGCCCGCTCACTTCGTTCGAGACTGCCGCTGGAAAGGTCTATACGTGCCGTCGCGCAACACCTCGCAGACGCGGCGGTAGCGGGAGGGCGTTTCGCTAAACCAATCAGGAGCCAAGAAAGAAAAGGACGTGCTCGCTCGCGGAATCGACCGCCATCTTGCATTGTCTCCGAGTCGGCAACGGTGTTGGCTGCGTTGCGGTGACGACTCGGGCGGCCGGAGTGGGAGAAACGAACGAGAAGACTATCTCAAAGCCCCCAACGACTCGCGCGCGCATCCGCAGTGACGTCGACGATCCCGGTTGGAGGACGAACCGTTCGTGTCGAAACGACTCGCCAAAACTCCTAATGTTGCCGTTTCGCTTACTATACGGAGCGCAAGTTCGTCTGCTTCTTTTCCAGGGGTTGCGGTGACGTCAGAACGCTGAGCTTTGATTGACTATGATTGTAGGATGGTGTGCAGACCTCAAAGCAAGCTGCATTGATATCTACCCCCTGTCTTTCCAATCAGAGCCAATCAGAGCTCACCACAACCCCTGGAAAAGAAGCAGACGAACTTGCGCTCCGCATTTGTGAGCCGCTAGCGACGATAGCGCGTTATTTTTGGCTCTTGACTGCAGTTGACTGCTTGTCGGTCCAACTGTGTGTACATGCTTGGCGCAAGCGCCCTTCGCAACGGTACGTGTTCGCTTGCCGCCTCGGAACGTGTCGTGCTCAAACGCAAATATGCGTATGGGCTTGTAGGCGAAGAAGCAACGAACAAACACTTTTCGCCAACATAACGAAAGCAGGTCTAGGCAATATGAAAAATCTTCGGCAGAACACGAAAATTAAAAGGGTAAATTTATCTTGAAATGAAATGATCATTGGCTGCTTCTTATATACACCAAGTTTCGTAATTACAGAGCCATAACCAATTTACTAATGTTGATACTTTTTATCTGGCGACCAGGCAACACTGTTCAATTTAGTCACACCAATTTAGTCTCCTAAAGTTCGATCTTTCCTTCAGTCGAGACGGCATCCACTACGAGTAACAGACGGGGATGCGGGTGGGGCAGAGGATGAGCAATGGCTTTTCTAGCAGCCGGCAGAGCTTTCGGGTAGCTGAGGGTTCAAATGCAAACAGGGAAGGATGGAGGAAGCCTCGCAGAACAAAGAAAAGGAAGTAGCTCAAGATAAGATTTAGAAACATGCCGGGGAGCAGAAATAAAGTAAAGTGGGAAGAGATTGCGGAACAATTAAATGATGATTTCATTCTGTATGGATTGGCAGAGACGCAACTTAGGGATATGAAGAAACCACCCTACTTGGCCGGTTATTTTTGGCTGTAATGCAATTGATGGGAAGGCGTACGGAAAAGAGGCGGATTGGGAGGGCTAATCAAAGGAGAGGTTTGGGAAAGGGTGAAATAAAGCTGCGGAAAACACATGAGTGTTGAGAAGGAATATTAAGGGTTTAGACACGCTTCTAACATTTGTTTATGTGTAAACGGGGACTGATTCAAGAGAAAAAAAAAATGCCCAGCATATGACGTGTATTTCAAAAGATGTTGGCTCAAAAGATGTGGTGGAGAAATTGGCTCTTATCGGGAGATAATTATCTTACGAGACACGAATGCGTACTTAGAAGACTTCACTGGGTTCACAAATTCAACAGGGAGGATGTTACAACAATTTTGCGATGCTCTTGATCTAGTGCTGGTTAAGGCCTAAGTGAAATGCGATGGAAAAATAAAGTGGGAGAGAAACAATTCGCACTCGACAATTGATTACTGTCTAGTGTCTAGCAAATTGTGTAACAGGTTAAGACACATGGAAATAGATGAGGAAAGCTGGAACATCTTAGGAAGTGATCATATGCGACTTATAATAAAATTTGGTACAGCAAAACCAGTCACAACTGGTTTTGTGCTGGACAGAGAGGTGAAGTGCTGGGCAGAGGGGACTATTTCTGTGGAGAAGGAAGTAATGTAAGCCAAAAGAAAAGTGTGGATGGAAAGAATGCAGGAAAACTGAGCTTTAGCTATGTATAGAGGATACATTTCGGTTTATCTAAATGGAATCAACGTTCAGACAGATTTACTACGAGTTTATATAATTTTGGTACAATGCTGTTTGTAGGGTTCCACGAGGCCGTGGCAGATGCAATGGCTTGGCTGGCTTGTAGTCCCCAGCGCCTTCACAAGATTGGTCTACTTGATGGGATAAACAAAGAACTCGGTGAGTCCAGAATTTTTGAGTCCTATACCCGCTGGTCTTTCCTCCACCATTGAATTTTATGAAATTCGGCAAAACGAAGCACAGTAATTTATTGGAGAATACCGCCGGCCAACTTTTCAGGGCCAAGCATGATGGACAACATCAGAAACCATCAATGAGTCGAATGAACAAACAAAAATAAACAAGTAGCTTAGTCATTGGTGACAAAAACAAAACAATTCATCAACTGCACTCGCAAATAAAGCGGTAGAAGCGATCGCCGTCACACTTGGTGGCAACTTATTCCACTCACAAACAGAACGAGGAAAAAAGAAGTATTTAAAAACATATTTTCTGCAGCGGAACTCAATGAGCAAATTCTCGTGCTTCTGCCTTATATTCTGCCTTCGCGTTATACTGCAAATAATCATCAAAATTTAGACCAGTTTTATCATGAATTATGTTCTGCAGAAATGTCAAACGCTTTACTTTCCTTCGACATGATAATATAGGCACTCCGGAGGCGGTATACAACGGTGACAAGTGTGAATCTTTGACATATCAGTTGTAAATAAACTTAAGCTATTTCTTTTGAAGGCAGTCCAATTGGTCAATGAGCGTTTTCGAGTGCGGCTCCCATACAACGTCAGCATATTCCAGCAAAGGACGAATCAGCGATTTATAGGCCGTCAGCTTTGTCGCAGGAGTACGGTGACACATTTTCCTACGTAGCGACCACAATTTACTTGACACTTTTGCGACAGTCTGCTCAATATGACTAGCCCAGCTTAAGTTAGACGTGATAGTAATACGGAGATACTTGTATTTATTAACTACTTTTAAGGCATTTGAATGAATAGACTAAGAAAAAGATAGGCACCTTCTTCAGTGTAATTGACATCTGCACACATTTCTTGACATTCAGATTGCAATTTTTGACACCACAATGAAATCATTTGAATACTCTCCTCTCAGCATTTTTGGTTAGATACATAAGATATATTTGAAAACAATACACAATTATCAGCAAAAAGTCGGCACTGTACCGAGGGCTTATCAACTCGCAGGTTGATAAAAACCAAAAAGAGCAATGGTCTGAGTACCGAGCCTTGGTCCACTCCAGAAAGAACAGGTAACACTATTGATTCAGCATTGCCTACACACACAAACTGTTTACGATTCGTAAAGTACGAGTCTATCCACCTCAGTAGGCGATCATTGCCCAACACTTGCAATGCTTACGTAAAATAAGTAGTTATGCAGTAAAGGTCTCGATATTCTTGTATTTCTCGCGCCACTCCGAGGAATTGGTGGAATTTATTTCGGTATGTTTTGAAGCATACTATGTTTTTTAACGCATGTCCACAATCCCAACATTTTCTCAATTTAGCGGAAAAATTTACGTCAATTCAATCTCCACTCTAAATTTAACGGGGAAGTTGACGTCACGTGATCTAAACACACATTCACTTTTCCCACTGCCCAACCAAGTATCTTTTTAATAAAGCAAGCAAAACTGTTCTAAAACCCAAACCAAACCATGAGCACGGAAACTCATGCCCGACTATTGTAACGTAATGTGGAGGAGGAGAGTTGCCAGACGTCACGTGCCTATCGCTCCATTCCTTAGGCGGAAAGGTCTTAATTTCCCGGGGGGCGGGGGAGGCGCAGCCCGACAAGCCCCCTGAATCTCATCTCAAATCGTGCAGGCAAAAAGGGTTGAATTTTTCATTTCGAAAGAAAAAATGTTATGGCGCCGTCTCTAAAAACGCAGTCAAGGCCGCGGCGGAAAGCAGTGTTTTTCACATCCGTCGTGGGTCGGATGTTTCGCTCGATCTCCCGCCGTGGATTTTTAGTCCACATTACAGTAACTTTTTTCAAGCACTTTGTTAGCACAGGTAAAAGGCTCTAATATCATAAAAAAAATTTGAGGCGCTTTGCTTTTTTTCTGTAAAAAAATCAATGACGCCCCCTCGGTTAATTGTTGGTGAATTTTGACAATTAAATACTGGCGATCTACTTGGGTTACGCCAATATTTCTTTATGTCTATGGAGAGCCCGAAACACGTTCTTTATATATATTATAAAATCACTCAGATTTATTAAATTTCCTTTGCGATACGTTTAATGTTGTGCTAAAACCAAAAAGTACCAATTTTGAGGTCAATTTTCTAAAAAAAAAAACCTTTTTTATATTTTTATTTTTTGTTACAATGTAGATAATGTGGATATCCTAGTTGTCTACTCGAAAAGCAGCTCGAGAAAGTGTGTATCTTGTTTGTATATTCTATATTTAAGCATTAATATCGTAGAAAAACTTTTTTTTTTTTTTTTTACGGCTTGAAACAGACTTGCAAATTGCGCGTCTTCATAACTTGAAAATATTTTGGCCCTTTTTCAACGTTCCCACATAAAAATGAAGTAGTTCCAACCTGTTATATTTACTGCTCGTTTAAATTTTATTATAGGCGGAGCTACATTGCAGGAATTTGAAAGAGGAAGCAGCCCTTCTTAACAGACCAGCAGGCGTCGTAAATTTTTAATGTGTATAAATCGGCAGACCTAGTATTGATTCGGGGCCCTCATTGGCCTATATGAATGTCCCGCCCTTTCGAAACCAGCAGATGACCACGACCTTTCGCGCTCGTTGTGTTAGAGAGGACGGCCCGTGGCAGTAAGGAACTGTTGCCTGGGAGGATGAGGACACCACGGCCTTACAAGGACGGTCAACAACCGTTCTACCGGCCGAAACAACGCCGCGTTCGCGCTAAAACCGTCGGCACGGGACAATAATCCCGCAGACGCACACACGAAGATGGGCCGGTTACGTTAGGGATGTGAACAAATTTTGAAACCAGCCAACCGTGCACGCGTGGAACGATACCCCGTATTTGCCCAAGCTTCGAGCGCCCTATCCTTGAAACGACCGTGCTCTCTCTCTTTCCGCGGGGATCCGATGGCACCGAAGGGTTATCTTTTTTGGAAACAGCAAAGCCCGGAGACCAGTGTCGAAGTCAGCCTCCTTGTCAACTATAACCGTTTGTGAAGAAGTGATCTTCTTCCGAGATAAAAAGTTAGCGCCGGCTGACGTGTTCTTCTGGAAAAGGGAAGGGGAAAGAGGAAGATTGAGTAACTACAGTGACTACCTCGAAAGCTCCTCTCCCGATATAATGCTCGAGGTATTGGGCAGGAGATCGAACTATAGACCGTTCCATTAGGGTCATAGCAGAAAGGGTAAAAGAGAAAAAAATGCACTCACCCTCTCACCCCGCGTTCCGTCCGCTCCGCCGAGTGGGCTGTAGCTAGCGTCCGGCTGGCGTGCAAACTCTGTTTAAAATCGCGTCATTTTGTAACGTTCAAGCGCAGATGCGCAGATTTTGGTATGCCAGTTGTCGTCTAATATTATGCTACATAAAGAGGCTCACAGGGTCCGATTGCCCTGTTACCAGCGTGCAAATAAAAGAAAAAATAGGGAAAACTGTGTCTGATTGGCCGATCTCTTTGGCGAAAAGTAAATCCGGTTGCTGTATTTTTTTTACTATACAAAGTTCGTACTGGTGTAGGCCTTTAGCAACCATGAGTGGAAGTCTGAAATAATAAATAAAACGTGCTCTCATGCCGCAATACACGCAATAGTTGAGGGTAGTACTGCCGGCTGACTCAACTGCTATTTAAGTAACGGAAAAAAGATATGCTAGTTGATCATTTCGCAAAATAGAACAACAGAGAGCTATAGGCTGATTTTGGCGTAGCCACAACCATTCTAAGAACGCGAACCACTTCACAACGGAAGCCACGAGCGAGAGTTCGATGTTCGGTAGAGCCCGCCGTTACAGCCCAAAGACGGAGAACGGCAACCTCCTGGTTTGTCGTCTACTAGCGGAGTCTGGCGCGAGCCCTCTCTCTCGTTTTACCCCGCCGAACTTCCCGGATGTGTGGAGAGGGCGCTGCCGGCGAACAAAATGGTGCCGCCCAGAGAGCGCTAAATGGAATGGTCTATACACCAACTCATCTCTGTGACGTCACGGCGCGGTGGTGGCGGGTCGGTCGCACTTCCGGTCTGGGGCTGTGGGCAGAAGTCCCCATGCCAGACGTGTATTCCTGCGTTGTTTTGAAGGGAACCAGACAAAAACCTGCCTTCTCGTCAAAACGCCGGGACTGGGGCCGTACCTAATGTGTCGAGAAAGATTTGAAGGTCAGTTTTCACGTGCTCGGTTCGTCCGAGAATCTGGATATGTGCCGTGAAAAGAAAAAAGCAGACGCCGACGGACAACGATTGCATGGGCGGGAAGCACTTTGAGTTGAATTCACGGATACTTGTGGTCATCAGATTTATTTGTTTTATTCCAACATGAACGCCAGAAAATCATCAAGTTGTGCGGACCACCTGCGGACTACGTTCAATGCGTCTTCAAGTTCAAACAGCTGCCTGATCGTTCGAACTGTCGTCTGCTCTTTCAAACGTTTCTGCTTGTCGTCTGCTCTCTTAGACGACGCCGGCCCGTAGATTAAATATTGGCCCGGTACTTGCTATACGAAGTAAAAGCACACCTCAAATGACTTAAGTTTGAAGGTTGGTAAGCAGGCTCGATGTAAACAGTAAATACAATGAGATGTTGATCATTGCTACGAGTAACCGCGTCACTGACTTACTATGACTAATTGACTTCGTCCGATTCTGCTTGCGATTTTCAGTATCGACGTCGACTATCTCAGCTACGGTTCACGCTTTTGCAGCCCGAGCGGCGTCGCGACTGAAAATTGCGAGCGAAATCTCATCATGCGAATCAGGTTTTAGCGTACATACTGCGGCGTCCACGCGGAATGAAACGCCACATGTCACATTCTTCACCCGATGTTTCGCGGTGTAACCAGCCTCGGTAATTTCGCTGACGCCGCTCAGGTAGTCAGACATCGCCAGGAAGACGTAGAATCAACAATTCGAACGCGAAAAAGAGCAGGGGGACTCACACCGACGCCGACAACATCGCATTTCAAACGTTTGTTTATGGGCGACGGCGAACTTTTTGCCCACACCCTCATCGCGCATGCGCGGCGCCGGTGGCGTCCGCTA